TATATATATATATATATATATATATATATATATATATATATATATATATATATATATATATAGTTATAGTTATCGTTATAGTTATATAGTTATATAGTTATCGTTAGTTATAGTTATAGTTATAGTATATCTGAATAGTAATCGTTATAGTTATGCGTAGTGTAGGTATGTATCGATTTGATATATTCCATCTTACTGTTTTTCTTACAGGAACTTGGTTCGTCTTCGCCATTCGGACATTCTTTAATGCCATTGCACCTAAACAAATCATAAGATTTCATAACTCACAAACATATTCACAATATTTTTATATTATATGCAATAGTTTGTTCAAAACATATTATTGGATATCTCTTTTAGATTTACTTAGATACTCAGAAAATATTTTAGAGGTAACAACATGTTTGGTATCATCGCTGATCTAAACAACCGTCTGTCACAGACTGCTGTGTATTTTTCTTTTTATGTAATAATATAAAATAAATTTGATTTGTTTATATATACATAAAATAAAAAAATATCGCTGTCATATATATATATATATATGATTTCTTGTAAGAAATCGGTGTATCATACATGCGTGAAGCAGATTAGGTTTGCAATAAACATGTTAAACATGTTAAATCCGTGTATAATCCGTCAATGTATGTCATACATAGTTATTATTAGAGAAAATGTGACAATAAATAATGCTTTTTTTACACAGAATTCTGTATGGAATTTGTTCTATACTGATTACACGACGTGTATAATCACTTGTGTGCAGATAGAACTTATTAAAGTGAACAAAAAGTCTTTCGCTATTTTGCAAACACAAAATTATAATTATTGTAAAAAGGAATGTGAGCTAAACGCCTCCACTGTCCAATATTAAAGTTCATCCAGTATCACTGTCCAGCATAAGAACGCCCGCCGTTACCAACAGTTTACCAATTGATTCAGACATTTTGAACGAGATTGGATTTAAAGAGTTCGTTCGACTGCATCATGCGTACTTAATCACCAATTTTCTCTAACTAATATGTTAATAATCGTAGTTGTTTGTAAAATAGTAAAGAACTTTCTCGTTGAACTCGATTAGTTCTATCAGTTATAGAAACTTTGCTCCGCGAGCAGCACGCATCAGCACGCATTCAGTTACATTTGCAGCACGCTGACAGCGCGTGGAGGGGATGGCTCCCATGCATGCGGCCCTGTCCGTGTGCACTTCTCACAGTGAGTCTCACTTCGCTGAACTGTGGCTGAAGTGAGAGGCTCTCACAGACAGAGCACGCATACATGGGAGCCATCCCCTCTGCGCGCTGTCAACGTGCTGCAAATGCACTTGAATCGACATATCTGATCCCCTCCCGTGCTGATGCGTGCTACTCGCGGAGTAAAGTTTCTATCACTAGTTCTACCTATACACAAGCAGACGTATGCGTTCTGTCGTACACCATGTATACATATAGGATCTATATAATTTACATTATTTAAAAACAACTTGGATGATGTAAGGAAACGATGGTAAAACGTACCACTGGTACCACTTTATGCAGATGTCATGTTCACTGCATTTAATTTCGCCGGAGGAGCATGTGTACTGCACAATGCACGTGTGGTTGTCCGCGCTTAACGTCATCTCAGGTGGGCAAGCGCAGAGCTGAAAGTTACCAAGTATTTGATATCAGGCAAGTGATTCCAAACGATACGTCCCCTCGATGAATGTTTACAAAATTGACATATAAGTATGGCAGTATATAAAGTGACGTTAACGTCATCATATTCTAATCCTATATGAAATGTTCGCGTATTTCCGTTAAATACATTATATGCACGACATGCGTCAGGACATGATATCATTTTCATCACGCATAAAGTGTACTTACGTATGAATTTGCAGACGAAGGTAAGCACACGTGTGAACAGTTTCCACAGTTTTTACGATAGCCATCTATATTTCTGTGTGCCATTATCAAATAAGAAATTTCTACTTTTTCGTCTAGAAAGAATAAATTTACTTGACTTGACATCTCACACATGTATATTACTTGTTGCTGAAACGTCAAACATACAAACTCACAAATTTGTTCAAAGTTTTCCTCCCAGTTTTTTTGCTGAATATTGTTTTTGTTCGCCCAAAATAGTTTAGTCGAACAGCGTTGTGTCCAGAAAATATATTCTCCTGCAATGGTAAGACTCATAGGCTTGTCCAAGTTGGTGCGGAGGATCTGATAATCAAAACCTGAAAATTTGACCATTTGTTTGCGATACGTCTTAAAATTTTACGAAATAAGACTTTTTATCTTAACCGTTTGAGTGCCATCGATAGTTGCAAAATACGTGTGAAAAATGTCGATTGCGCTGTTACTGTTCTAAAAGTGTCGTGTAACGCGATCGCGCCCCTATTTTTCGTTACGTTTTTCATTTACTTTCTATGAGGCACTTATGACACAAATTATGAATGTTAAAATTCGATCTCGTAAGAAAGTTTTTTAAACTTCTATAACAATCATAACGGTGCGTTACAATAGAATCTGAACGTTTGATATTTGAGTGCTTTTGCAGTGTTCACGAATATTAGATTTAATTTCCGGATTTGAGCCACGTGAATTCCATTTTGTTTGATTCTGACGTTTAGGACAAGAGATCAATCCAATCTGGCAATTGCTCCTGGTTTTCAAAACCTGACCGGTCAACAAATTCTCTACCACTCTCTTCTTCTTCGCAACTACCTTTCACCTCCTTGCTATTTCCCTCTATGTCAATCACTATATAAAGGATATTTGATGAGAAGCAACTTAGCACTAGGTCGTTACTCTCTGATAAAGCGAATTGAAATATTCGCGAAACATTGAAATCAGACAAAGAAGAATTCACGCGGCTCAAACCTGGAAATCAAATTTAATAAAGAATCTGACAATTAATTTTTTTTTTAGTGAAGCTTACTGAGATGAAGGGTTGGCACTTATGAAGTGAAATAAAAGCAACGCACAATCGGGTTTTCTTAGCATTCAAACGATTAATTACGTATTTATCATGTTTATAAAAGCTAGAATGCAAACCTGTCAACAAGGCGCTTCGGATACTGTTACTGCCCTGATCAGCCCAATAAATTTTTTTTTCGTCCATACAATAGTACAATGATATCCTTGGACCTATTAGCAACTTGCTCTCTACAAACAGCGATTTCATTCCCATTCCATCCATTTGCATTTTATCTATACGATATTTATCCTTCACTTTGAACACTACGAACATTATGCTACAACATACAAGACGTGATACATTCTTTCAGAAATATTAGATTAATTTGTAAGTTCGTGCAAATTTTTGTTTATTAGCATTTGTATAATAGTATTAGAGTATTAGTTCCATACACGCAGTTGAAATCATCTATATATATGCTTTATAGCTGACATTTCAGAGTATATTTTATGGTGTGAATGGTGATGTTTGAAGAAGTACACAGTTATTGTTGTTGATAGGTCGTTGCAGCTTGATAATAGAAGACAGTAATGAGTTTTTCCGGTGCATTGTACTTTCTTATTTTTGTAAAAATTATTAGAGTTTGGATAGAATGTTTTACTTTATCCACCATATTCATTCGATATTGTCCCCTTCCGCGATTATCATATGTTTCGCTTATACAGAACTCCCTTGGCATAAATTTTGTTTCTTTAGATGATGTGGACAATCACATGAAATGTCGAAAAAGTATAAAAGTTTTACGAGAGGAGAATTATCAAATTACGTAAAAGATGGCAAAAAAGATTGTCAGACAGAATGGCAAATATATTACTGATTACAATTGTTTTCAACATAAAGTAAGATGCATTTCAAATTTGTTTAAAAATCTGCACGAACTTATAAATCAAGGAAACAATAAAAATTATAAAGACAAAATAAACAACTAAATATCATACCCTTCTTCAGGTGCCAAAGCGATGTTATAAGGTTGTTCCTCGAAATAAAAGATCTTCTTCGTTTTTGTCGTTAAGCTATGTACCTCAATAGTTTTTTCTTCTATATTTGTCAAATACAAATTATTACCAACATAATCGAACGCCATTCCTCCCAACGATTCAATCTTCATGGCTATGAGATTCTTAATTTTGTTGTTGATCGGGTCGTAGCGGAAGATATTATTCGTAAGGGCATTGCTTGCGAGTATAGTACCTAAATAAGTTTTAATTGTAATTAAAGTTTTAATACTTCCTTCGTTGCTGCACTCTCTCTTTCTGTAATATGCATTTTTTATGAAATATTAATGTCGTCATACCGGACAGTGAATCATAAGTAATCGCGGTAATGTTTGATAGGGTAACGCTGGTTGCTATTTTTGGCTTGCCAAACCAATTATGGTAATAATTTACAAATGTACCATCCGCAACTATGATGATATGTTGGCTATCTTCCGTGTCTAAAACAATAAATATGTTCGTCTAAAAGTATAATAAATATTGGTTAATACGTACGTATATTGTGGTCAACGTATAAAGGCAGACGATGCAGAGACGGTCGTCACTAATGCAATTACGCTATCTTTTATGCAGTTCTTGTATATATAGAACATTACTATATATTGCTTTGTTTATCGGGAAACTTACCCACGCATATATAAAAATCTTTGTGCAAATTTTTTCCGATATTCTTAAGCTTCTGAATTCAAAGACGAAGATACAGCAATTTAGTTCTCTAAAATTTGTTTGATTGGAGCCTTCACACTTTCGGTATACACAAGCTGCGGAACTTTTGGATGAGGCAAATATTATGCTAACAGCTTGAGATTGTATTGTATATTTAAATTTTCTTGTCGTTTTCGTCACATATTGAGCAACTTCTCTATTTTTGCATATACTTTTTTTGCGTAAAAGCATTTGTAATTTTTTTAACCAATGCGACGTAAACTTTGCAGAAAAATATGTATACTATCGGTAAAGTTTTCAATTTCAGCGTCCCCTTAGTGACGATCGTCTCTACGTTATCAACACTTTTGAAATTCATCATCTACTTTAACATCTCCTTAAATATGTATAAAATATATCTAAAATATTCTCAAAATTTCTGATCTGGATGATAGATTCTTCTTAACAGATTCCTCAGCAAATGTGTACCTCGACACGTATGCCCGTCGGAGTTCAATTTCTTGTCCAGAGTACATGCACATGTATAGTTTTTATTTTTATTTAACAAACAAAGTTGCGAGCATGGCTTCAAAAAACAAGCATTTTGAACCTAAAATTAAAATGAATGTTAATGTAAATACTGTTTTGCGATACCGATTTTATCGCGATGTAAAAGAAATAATACTTTTGGTTTCATTATGGGATGATAGATTTTTATACCCTGCATTGCATTGTAATCAAGATCCGCTTCAAAAATTTCCGGATTACAGTTGGAAAATGCATTGCAGTATCGTATAAATCGATTTGTATTTAAATTCCAGTATAATTTATTTTCGAATATTTCCAGGGAAATTCCTTGAGAGTTTATTTCGCGTGATACAATCTGCATAAATAATTAAATTAAAATTATAATTATGATTATAATTAAATTGTAAATAATTAAATTACAAATATATATTAAATTTTTTTTAAAGTAAAATTTCACTGGAAAAGGTGAAACTATTTCGGAGCGACTCGGACCACCGAATCACTCGAATTTGAGTGATTTTTTATTCATATAGAGTGATCCCTCTTCTCTGAATCATCGAATGAATATTTTATTCGAAATTAAAGAATAAATTTCCTGTACTTTACCGTTCAAAAAATATATTTGCTCTAATCGATTGAAATATATGATCATATGAAATCAAAGTTTAAATTGAGAAGTTTAAGCTTGAGAATTCTAAGCTTGAATAAAACACTCACTTTTGCAATTTCAATTGGTAACAGTTTCATTATTGCCTGAAGTTAAAATATTGCCACTTTTCACTTGTTTTGAGTGAAATTCCATTTTATAAAATTCGGAGAGTATTTCCTTAATTCTTATTCACGTGTCTTAAATGTCTCATAATTAAAAAAGTATAACTTACTGACCTTTCGATCGGTGCCGTCTAATCGGATAGATTCAATTGTCATTAAACCAATATCCATCCAATACAATCGATTGTTTGGATAGTCGAT